CCTGATGGTGCCTCGGGTCACAATAGTCTGGTTTTTTTCGTAGTGCGAGGTGAAACGGCCGGAGGTCTCTGTGAGTCTGTAAGTCCACAACAAAATGACCAGTGGAAGTATAGTTCAGTAGAAAAATTGAAAGAGATGGTTGTGAGCATAAGTTGAACAATGGACGTGAGGCTAAGGTGGGCTCTCACTGGTGCGGCTGGTCGCTAGAGTCGAAGTTGTTCCAGGGATCCAACTCTGCGACGTAGTTCTGGGCGTGAAGCGGCAGATGACGGCCATGAGCATCATGGGGTAGGGGTTGGTGACCAACTGGGGGCCAGTGGTTGCTTGCGGAGTGTATGTGGGAATTGGGAGGGTTGGTGGTGGAGTAGTCTGCGCTGGATATGGCGCCGGCCAGGGGTGAGGTGTGGATGGAATCGAGGCTGGAGGTGTGGGGGAGACATGGGGAAGTTGGACTGGAGGGGGTGGTGTGTGCTGCCAGCCGGGAGCGGGATTGGCGGAGTGCTGGGTGGGGAGCGCTGGTGGGGGCTGCTTCGGATAGCCGGATGTGGTAGGGATCTGTTGAGGTGATGGCTGTGATCGGTGTGTTGGGTGTAGTGTAGAAATGGAGCTGACGAAGCGGCTCGTGGCTGGGGTACGGCTGTGCCGGAGCGGGGAGATGGTCGACCTGAGGTGTGGGGATGAGGTCGGCATAGTGCCATTGCTCCGGATTGTTGTTGGGTTGCTTGTTGGACAGCGATGTGGCACTGGTCGGTGGCGGTGCCGGATTTACGGCGGGTGTGGATGCCGGAGTTTCGGCAGATGTTGTGGGAGGTGTTGTATGAGATTTCGGTGTGGCAAAGGCGGATACTGAACGATCGCGTGGATCTCGGTTTGGACAGAGGCCTCAAAAGCTGCAGTGTCCGTTTGGGTGGGGGCTGACCAAGGTTCAGGTTGAGGAGTGGTCTGTTGTTCCTCATGGAAGAGAAGTGGTTCGAGGATGCTGTCGGTTTGGATGGACTGGGTGGTGGAAAGATGGGTGGGGGTGGTCTGCACGGAGGTGTTTTGCAGAAGCCGGGCGCTTGGTGTAAATGCCGAAAGGTTGTGCCGTGTGACTGGTGGCAGGTGGATAGGCTGGCCGGGTTGCAGTTCCTCGAATGTCGGGAACAAAATTTCCGAGGCGGAGTCGTCGTCCGCAGTACTATCCATCTCCTGCAGGTAGACGCTGGGGGGGTGGCGCCCCAGGGCGTCGAGGGCGGTGAGAGCCCGGCGCAGGTGGACGTTGATTTGATTGATGCTGGTGGTGTAGAGTTGAATGTGGTGTTGCAGTGCGGGTGGCATGGATTCTTGAAAAGGTTGGTGCAACAGAGGGGTCTCTGCAAGAGCTTGCTGTGTGGTAAGGTGTTGGTATAAGGTGAAACGGTGCAGGTTGATGTCCGTGAGTACTCCACATAGTACGTTGGGCCTTTTTCTTGGGTAAACGCGGAAGCCCAGAAAGAGGTGTCACTGCCCTCGGATGGCGGTTGGTGCGAGCCCATTGCACTGAAGCGTGAAATGCAAACGGGGCGGCTGGGCAGTCGAAATGGCTGCGGTGCGAACATGAAGCATGAATCAAGACAAAAGTAAGAAAGTATGAAAGGTGATGGAGCAACATGGTTAATCAATGGTGAAATATTGCAAACCGAATGGATTCTGTGGCGAAAGAAACGATACGGTTTTTTGTGGTAGCTGTGATGGGCGTTATCTGGGTGAAACAAGCGAGGCTGTAACGCTAGGTTGTCAGCGCCCGGTCATATGAGCAGCCGCTGCGGCAGCTGCTGTGCGAGCGATCCGGAGGATGGCTGCGGTAAGTTGGCTAGCCTGCTGATCCGTGAGTGGGAGTTCTGGAAGTGGTGGTAGTGGTGGAAAAAGGGCGGGAGGCGCGAGTTGTGGTGGCGGTGGAATGGTGCCTGGAGGAAAAGCTGGAGGTGGCGCTGGACAGGGTGGTGCTGCGGTAGCCGGTGGGGAGGAAGGAAGGTGTTCAGCGGTGGAGTCCAGGTATTGGAGGATGTCGTGCGAAAAGTGGAAGGGCGTGACTTTGCCATGACAGCGTGGTCGGGGAATCCTATAACTTGAGTGCGGCGGTGCGTAGGCGGTGGAGGTGGAGCAATGGCAGCAGGTTGTGGGTGGAGGAGAGATTGGGCAAGAGCAGGTGGCGGAACAGTGGTGGAAGGAGGGTCCGAGTGGGGTGCAAGCCTGTGGGGCGGCTGCCCAGGGCGGGATTTCTTGAGGATGGGGACATTGGTCGTAAGGATGACCGGATCTTCACTGCTAGTCGTGGGTGAAGGAGAAGGAGGTGGTTTGCTGGTTGCTCGAGTGGAGGAGTGTGCGGTGGGTGGAGGGATCGGTGGTGTTTTGGGAGGCGGTGGTAAAGCTGTGGTGGTGGTAGCTGTGGACGGAACAATGGCCGTTGGATCGGGTTTGGTGTCTTCGAGGTTGTTGTCTGTGTGGTGGACCTCCTCTAGCTTGACATCTTGGAGGTCAGGCACTTCAGGCTTAGCAGCAGGCAGCGAATATGGATCGCTTTGGAGTTCCTCCAGCACAGAGGCTGCGATCCCAGTCAGGGGAGTCGTGGTCGACTGGCGTGGCGAGAAGTCGATGTGGTGGTGAATCGCCAGCGTGCGCAAAACGGCTGCGGAGCATCAAAGAACATAATGGAAAGACGAAATGTAACCGGAAGTGAAAAATGAGTAGCAAATTGTGAGGTGAGTGAAAAAACCCGCCAATCTCAGCTGTGGATCGAACCTTTTCTCGCTGAAGCGTGGAGAGTCCGTATGGATGTGAAACTACTGGCTAAAATGATGAACCAGTGTGATCGCGATTGGGGGACATCGACCATATTGCTGGAGGCGTCGGTGAAGTAGCCGACGATGGTGCAGAAGTGGCTGTCCAGAGAGATTGGTGCAGTGGACTGCGGTGACTGTGGGATGTCGTGATGTCTGAGAGTGGTTGACGGTCAGCGCTGTGGTTGCTGAAGGGGGGTTGTGAAGATGTGGTGTTGTCTGTGGGCGTCCTGTCGCGTGAACGCGAGCGGGCGCGAGGTGTCAAGTGAGTGATGAGGCGGTGCTGAGGCGGAAAAGAGGGAGGTCTGTTCGTAGGTGGTAAGAGTGGAGAAGAGAGGAAGTTGGTGGTGTTGGTTGGGGGGAAACGTGCTGCAGGGTCCATGCGATAATGGCCTGGAGAGCCAGGGGAGCCAGGCAGGAATTGGAGGATGCGGATGCCTTGGCATAGGTCGGTGCTGATCGTGCCCAAGTGGCGAAGGGTATTGCGGAGTTGGAGATAGAGACGGTATGCTTGTTGGTCTGTGAAGGAGGCTGGGTAAGGAAGGGGATCTGTGACAATTGGGTGATGCTGGAGGTCGGTGACGATGCTGTGGAGTGTAGCAATCATCCAAGATAGAAGCAAGAGTTCTGGCTGATGAGTTGCCGATGGAGCGAGATAGGGAAGTGGGTTCCCCGGTAGGAAATGTCCGGCTGCTGGGCCCGACGATGGGTCGGATAGAAAAGCGGTCGGTGGCCCCTCCAAAGTCATCGGTGCTGCGGCCGGCGGTGCGGAGCCAAAGTTGGTGCTGGCTGATGATGCGGTGGTGAATGGACGACTGGTGGAAAGAGTGAGTAAGGCTGCCAAATGCCTTGAGAGTGGTCCCAGTGGATGGATATTGGTTGTGGTGCCGGTTGTGGTGCCTGCTGAGCCTGTGGAAGAGGTGCTGCTGGTGGTGATGGTGGTGGAGGTGGCGATGACGGTGGATGAGAAGTGTGGGATGGAGGTTGTACTGGTATTGGTTCCATTGTTGGCGCCTGATGTGACACAGGGTAGGTGTGATGAGGTGGCACGAAAGCCGGTGTATGTTGGATGTGTGGCTGTAGAGGGTGTGGCCACGTAGGGGCCGGCAGGTGTGGTGAAGTGGCCGGGCAATGTGACAAGAAGGTAGGTGGAGGTTGGTGGAATGGAGCTGTATGCAGAGGTGCTGTTGATGGGTAGTGCTGCCACGGTGGTGACCGGAAACCAGCTGTCGGCGCCGTGGGCACAGGGCAATGAGATGGCCATTGCGGGTACGGCCAAGGATACTGCGTGTGAATGACGGTCGAAAGGTCAATCCGACAGGTTGGAGGCTGCACTAGATGGCGCCGGCGCGGCACAGCAGCTGAGCAATGACAGGTTGTAAAGTGGAAAACTGAAAAGTTCTTGAGATCTAGTGGACCGTCAGTGATGGAAAGTAAGGTGAACGTGTGGCATGAGATGCAATGCGGAATCTCGCAAAACGTGTGGAAGCTGAGCAAATGGCTGCGGATTAAAAATTGGGAACATGCAATAACGACACATGACGGTGCAAGTGGATTCAGTCTGTCAAAGGAATTCCATCGTTTATAGCCCGGCGGCTCGAAACTCCGTTAATTCAGTTATGGAAAAAGAGAAACAAAGAATCAGTTATAAGGAAGAAAAACCGATGCTTTCCGGAATGATAACAGCGCCTCCTTTCGGAGGGTCACACCCAGCACCCAAGTGGGAAGACTGAGCGGCTCACACTCTGACATTGGTTTTCAGTTAACTCAATTTCCAGGAAAAATGGTGATGGAACCGAAAGGTGAAATGGTCGGAGCACTTGAAGATGTTTCAAAAAGGGTTTGTGCACATCTGCAGTTCATGAACGCGCGGCAGCTGAATGCGGCTGAAGGAAAAAGGTTTGGGGGGAGTATCGTGGAACCACCATGAATCAAAGCGAGAAAAATTGGAGTGACAGCTTGTGCAAAAGTTCTTTCAGCAGGTACACAGATTGGCGTCCCAATCTGCTTCACGGAATGTCCACAGCTGTCTTCGTTGGCAGCAGAACTGTGGATTCCCTGCTGCCCCCTGCTTGCGTGAAAAGCTGGGAAAACCGTTGCAAAACCCTTAGAAACAGGGTGTGACACACACACACACACACTCTCGGTCTGATCACATTCAAGCCGCTCCTTATATTCCGCAGGCCCTGAACTCCACCCAAGGCCCATTCTTGAAGGATGCCATCGCCAAGCACTTGAAGAAACTCAACATGCCTTGCAGCATCAAGCTGCTCGGTTTTTGTGCAATCTCAGTGATGAACGCCTACAGACATAGCAAAGCCATGCAAAACCCATGGGAGAGATCGCAGGTGGTCACTACTGTCACTACTCTGGCCAATTCACATCCTGATGAGGTATATTGATCCGACCTACATGATCCGGGCTGTGCCGGCCAACGCCTTCGATAGCATTTATTGCTCCGTGTTGGCGCAGATGGCAGTCCATGCCGCATTGGCGGCTTGCTTTCTTCAACAAACGTACCAGCCATGGAGAGATTGGTTTAGAACGCCAGGGGGCAGTCAAGTAGTTCGATGTTGGTGGATGATGGTGGCTGGATGTTATCAGTTATCCATGTATGTACGCAGATATGATCCCAAAATCTGAAGGATATTGGCCGGTGTGGGCCGGTGTGGATATTTTTGGTTTTGGTTGAGTGTCAGTGTGGCCATGTAGTCTCATATATATATATATATATATAGGTGAAATGAGAGCCTTCCAATCTTCAGATACGAGAAGTTGATACTGGCTGTGTTTTGCCAATAATCGCAACCAAGCGATTGGGAGGGATGGACAGAGTGGCAGGCATGTTTGTGTGATTTTTCAAAGCTCCCAAATGATCCTTCCCAACACTTCGCACGAAAAACTGGAGGATGCAATGGCGATTGGTAGCTTGTAGCATATGTTGCACATGAGAGAGCTGAAGTCAGAGAACCTACCAAGGCTGGATTCACCGGGATTAGTGTTGGCAAAGTGGACGAGCGATATGTGATGCTTCCCATCCATTCCATCGTGGACAAAGGAGCCAGGAAGGCCAGGTTTTTCAAGCGAACAGAGTGCCACTTGATGAGGTTGCCCAAATCGATTGAGTATTTGATTGAGTATTTGTGATATGAGGAGAGTCGTTTCTGCTGTATTCACCTATACGATAAAATGATTTGGAGAAAGGTCTTTGAATGCTACGGGGAAGCTTTCCATGTGCTCCAGGTTGATCTACATAGCCGTGTTTTCGAGCGACTCTTAAATACCACTGGGCAGCCTAGCTTCGCATGAGCTGCAGCAAAGGTCGGCACCTCATCCTTGCAGCGAACGAATGCGCAGGTTACCAATCCCATCAAGTTAATTGGGGACATTTGCTGGTGAACCTGGTGACATACAATAGCCGAGCAGCGGCTGAAGGTGGTTTTGTGTGATTTAGCTATGCATTTTATATGTTTGGTGTTGAGATTTCAAACCAGGTTCCCTCCTGCTTTTGTCATGTTGGAGTCCGTGGAAGCTGGGTGGCCACTCTTACAATTAGTTTGTCCACACTTGCCCCATTTGGTTATATACCCCATTCTGAATTTCTTTGCTTGAAACCATTCACATCCATTCACATTCCGATGTCACTGAGAAGAACCGTGTCATCGACTCAGGATTGGAGCAAAGTGGCCAAGCCCGAGCCGTAAAGAGCACCAGAGTCGAATCTGAGAAGATCGAATGTTCATCAAACCATATAGTTCATGATATTTGATAGTGTTTAACAGCAATTTTGCAGACGTTATCTTCTTTGGGGACAATCCTGCTGTTAGAAGCCATGCAGGTGCTTGATGCTGTTGAAAGGACTTTTCGGAAGACCAGATCATGGCAGCCTTTGTTTCACTTCAACCTGGTTAGACCTGACAGCAGGCGCACACTCAATCATTGGATGTGAGACAAGACTTAGGAATGCGCTTGCTGGAAAGGACTTCGCTCAAAGAGCATGCTTCTTAACGCCAAATGCATCGGTTCTCCACCGTAAAGGGGCAGAACTGGAGCCAATTAAAGGAATCAGCATCAGAGTTTGTAAATGATGTGCAGCTCAGTAGTGACAAGGTACACACACAGTGTACACAACACACAGTGTACACAGTTGGATATTATTATATGTCATATGATGTTATATGATATGATGTTTAATATTCAATGTGTCTGTACAGAGCAGTTGCACGTGTCTTCGCCTTTTCTCTCATCTAAGATGACGAGAGGCCCGTCAGGCGAGTGCCAATTTAGCGGCCATCGGAAGCGCGCAAATCGTCGGTTGGCCGGATTCGGGTATGGTTCGATGCTTTCTCAGGATGACTTGAAAGTGGTGCCTATGGGCCTATGGTTCCTGGATTGATGGGGCCATGGAAGAAAGCAGATCGCGTTTGAGAATTTGTACATTATCAGCATCACACTTTGTCCCCAAACAGTTCCGAGAAAGCAAAAGGGGCGCGGCTGGAAATTATTGAAATTAAATAGTGCGACATTGCGGTCAGCCGGTGCAAAAGAAGTGAAAATGTGGCGCCGTAGCTCAGGTACCAGGGATTATCAGGGTGAAGGAATTTGACAAAGCTTTCGTCGGAAGGGCTTGTTGATGCTGACTTTTCTTGCATGCTTTGGGCAAGATCCTGTGCTGTTTTGCTGTTTAAGTTCTCAACATACCGCTGTTAGCACCATTGTCAATTATATACCTATATTACATATATATATATATATATGTTGTTTTTTGTCAAGTTTATTCCCTCGCCAAGTTTTCCTCACCTGTCAGGTGAGGGTTGTTAGATTTTATGTCAGCTCCTTTCCTCCGCTTCCCCCTCCGCCTCGTCCGCCTCCTCCTCACCTCAAACGCAAGTGCAGGATGGCAGTGTTCCCCGCCGGGCCTCAACCAGCACAAACCACAGCACAACCACAAAGACACATTTACAGCACACAACCACAACACACAACCACAGCACACAACCACAATCACAGCACACAGCCCGAGGACTCACAAACACAGTCGAGAACCGCAAAGATCACAAGGCTCACGACCATGGCAACATGCTCCTCACAATGGCATCAAGACAAATGATTGAAATGTCATGGTGGGGGTGTCAATTTTGGCTTTGCTGCATGTCACATGTTGACCAAGAAGCATCGCTCGTCTCCTGCCGCCAGCTCAAGGGTGGGTGGGTGGCTGTTCGTTCGTGCGAGCCATAGGAAACGACTGACAGAGCATCACAGGGCTGGTGTGGAAAAGGAAGCAGTCTCTTAGGGCTACGGTGGAAGGGAAGCAGGAGCTTCAACCCATTTTGGTGCAGGGCACCCTTTGTTGAACAGGGATTTCAACCAGGAGAATTCATATCATTTTGCTTGTTCGCGTGAGTCCAATCACCGGCTGTCCCCCTACCAAGTCGAAGCCGGTGTGGTTTCGATATTGGTAGCGGAGCTACCTGGACGATCGCGCAGGGAGTTCTTGTACGTACGTTGCTGGAGCGGTTGACATTGCATTGTTGGACAAGTTGAGTTTGAGACTATGCCGGACTCTGCAGGTTCAACGACCCTGGACACCAGTGCAACAGGATCTAGCAATCAGCTGGCTTCACTGATTCCGACTTTCGATCCATCGACGGATAGTGTGGAGCAGTGGACGCAGAAGATTGAGTTGCTCACCAAGGTGTGGCCTGAAGGTCGTTTGAACGAGTTAGCAACCCGGATCATCCTCAACTGCCAAGGATCAGCATTCGCGAAGTTACAGCTGCAACAGAAAGAACTTCTTTCAGGCACTGTTGAGAGCATTGCCAAGATTGTGGAAATTGTTGGAGGTCAATTTGGCCAGGTAAGCCTCGAGCAGAAGTTCGACATCGTGGAGAAGGCTCTTTTCAGGTGCAACCAGAAAGCTGACGAAAGCGCTGATTCATATCTGGCCAGGTCGGAAGTGGTATGGACAGAATTGTTGATGAAAAAGGTGAATCTGGCGGAAGTACAAGCCTACATCATCCTCCGGGGCAGCAAACTCATGGACGACAAGAAACGGGTTCTTGTTGAGTCCGGCGCTGAAAAGGCCGGTAGCAATCAGGATGCTAGGTTCCAGCTTCTTCACCGAGTTCACCTCCGGGAAGCGTGAGAAGAACCAGAAAACGTATGATCATCTTGCTCTTGGAGTCGATGAAGTAGAAGAATATTCCGAGGACCATGCCTGGGAAGGAGATGACACCATGGAAGAAGACAATTTGGAGATTCTGGCCGCCGAAGACGAAGATGCTTCGATGATTCTCCAGTTCGAGAATGCGTTGATGGACACAGTCCAAGAGGACGAGTTGGCAATCTTCTATGTGAGCTATCAAGAAGCTCGCAAACGGCTGCTGGAAAAATCTCGGTCCAGAGGTTTCTGGCCATCTCGCGGCTTCAAAGGAGGCAAGAAAGGAAAAGGGGTGAAAGGAAAGTCTAAGGGATTGGCTCATCGGATTGCTAATTCCACATGCCGCATCTGTGGCCAAACGGGCCACTGGAAGGCAGAATGCCCGTCGAGAAAGCCGACCGGGACCGCCGAAGCAGCACAGATCCCCACCTACTTCGTGGTCGAACTCGATGCCTGTCTCAAAGACATCCCGGAAGAAATTCCCGAAACTCAGAGATGCCAGTTTCTGAGGAATGTTTTACCGTCGTCGAGCCGTCATTTGTTCGATTCCGGAACCGACTCTGTGACAAACTGCAGAAGCAGTTCGGACTAAGGAAAACGCCGAGAAGCCCTGACCGTGAGACTAAGGTGCCGTCGCCTGTTAGATCGATAGCACCAGTCCCTGAGTGGTCAGCGCAGGAAGCCATCACATGCTTCGCCTCCACCGGATCAATTGGTGGTTGATTTAGGCGCCTCTCAGACTGTTATCGGTAGCAAACAGGTCCCAGAGCTTCTTGAGTCCATCCCTGAAACAATTCGGAAACAGATCAAGAAGACATCCTGTAACCTTGTCTTCAGGTTTGGAAATCATCAAACGCTGACCAGCAGGGTAGCATTGATTTTGCCCGTGCACAGGACTTGGTTTCGAGTGGCAATTGTTCCTGGCCCAACGCCATTCCTACTATCAAGTTCATTTTTGCGCACCATCCAAGCCGTCATCGATGCTGAAGATAACACCCTGTGGAGCAAGAAGTTAGGGAAATTCCTTGAAACCACCAAATCATCCAGCAATTTAATGTTATTGGACATTAATCAACTGTGGCCGCAGGATGCATTTGCTGTCCAAGACACTGTGCAGGTACAGGGATCGAATCCGATCCAATCGATCCAAACAGCTGAACTAATTTCAAAAGGTCAGCCTGCCGCAACCGCATCTCCAATTGACGCAGAACAGTGTGTCACCGGCCGTGCAACAGAATTGTCCAACTTAATTAAGCCCAATCCAAACGAAATGGTAAAAGTTGAGGAGACGACTGAAGTGACTTTCTCCGAAGAGAGAATTTGTCCCAAACAGTCGACCGACATGGATGTTCCAGCAAAGCCTTCTAGCTCTCAAGCCGATTCGATTCAGCCGCTTCTCGCCGAGACACATCATGTCTCCCAGTCAGAAGCTTGCCCTCTTTCAGGAAGAAATCAAGAGGGAACAGACCCAGGAAGATCTGAAGGACATCGACCAGCTTCCTATGAGCACGCTCAAGACCATGACCATCAAGTTCGGCAAAGCCAAACTTGGCCAACCCTTCGAGGAGGCTTTCCAAGACCAGGGCTGGACAAAGTGGTTCGTTGCCACTTACGAGAACAGCAAGAAGACCGAGCACCGCACCTTCCTGCGGTATGTCTCCCTCCGAGTGGAGGAAGGTCCGAACATGCCAATGAACATCAAGAAGAAGTCCGACCAGTACCTGCGCCTTTCTGCTCAGGAACCTGGGAAACCATCCCAGGCAGCTCCGGTCGAGACTTCAATGTGGGATCCAGAAGAACACCAGTTCGAGGAGATCTTGGAACACCAACAACAACAGGATCTTCGGATGAGCCGAATCGAAAATGCTTTGATGGCCATCATGCACCACATCGAAAGCAAGACCGAACCGATCCCAGCAACGCCGAACCCCTGGACGATGGTCAAGGAGGAGCCGAAGTGAATCGGGCAGTGATTGAGCAGATTTGTCACTTGAGTGAAGTCGCCTGCAACCTGGAACATGCAGAATTAGACTTCGATTTTGATGACCGCCAACCACAAGAATATAACCGCATGTGCTCACAGTACCTTGCCAAATTTCGTGAAGAGTTCCAGCACATAGCCAATGTGATAAAACCACATCCCCAAAGA